TTTAATGAAATAACAGTTCTGTAAAGTAACTCAATTTTAGTTTTTCAATTTACATCAATAAGTCTGTACTATTATTCTTAACAAGTAAAAATTGCAGCTCAATTACTGTTAGAACAAAACTGATTTGAGTCTTGAAAGTATTTTGTAACAGTGTTTTAAGTTTGCAAAGTGCTCCATATGGCTTGTTTTGAAACAATCCAGTAAAATTTATATTTTGATACTGTAGATAAAATAGCAAATGTTAAGAAAGAAAAGCTTGTGTAAGGTCACCTCATTAAGAAAAAAGGTCAAGATGAACTAATGATTTTCTGATATGTCACATTTGTTTGAGATTTACTGCATAAAAACAATTGGCTCCATTCACATATGTTAGCCTCAAAACTGAATCAGAGTTTGGCTTACTGTTATGTGTAAACCCATGTTCTGACTCATTTTTTTGCTGCTTGATATGCACCAGCTCTTTATGAAGGAAGAATTTTGCCTGAAATAATGTTCGTAAAGAACTGGCAAGCAATCAATAAATGTAGATTTAAGAAATGTTTTTTAAATTTCTAAGTACTTTTGAAACTCTCTTCATTTTTGGTTTAATGCAAACTTCTCATAAAAGACTAATACAATATCAGGCATTGTTATTCTTACAATATACAATTTGTATTAACATTAGAGTGGCGTGGTGGCCTAGTGGTAAACATGCTCACCTCCCACTTGGAAGGTTAAGAATTTAATCCTAAACAGTGACTAGGATTGAACTTCTCTCAAGGAGTAAGTAAATAAACAAACAAACAAACAAATCTGCTATGAACTCTTTGTAGGCCTCAGGAAGGGCATCTGGCCAATAAACAGTTCCATTCAGTCACCCGGACTCTACCCCAAATTAAAGGATTACAGGGTTGTAAAAAGAAAAAAATGTATTATTAGTCCTGCACATTCAATAGAATAATGCAATGATGATAAGCAAATAATTATGGCAATGTGTGAACTTTTGCACTTGAAGAATTTCTAATCTTTCAACATGGTGCAATAACAATTCCTTTTGGTTTTAGAATATTAAAATAATGTATATGTTCTGGATGGGATATATTCCATATCCAAAGATAGAAAATGTTTCTAGACCCAATGCTATCCAGCCTCCATAAAAAAGTATGCTAATGTCAACTTCAGTTGCTATGTCTTTTCCTGGGCAGATAATTTTGATTATTGTGAACATTGTGACACAAGTATAGTTAAAGTAAGAGGTGTAGGACTTCCACTGAAGTTAGTTCAACAAAGCCAATATTAAATGAGTACAAATAATTCCAAAATGAAAAGTACAATGATAATTTAAAAAGTTAGCTGTACAATAATTCTTCTCTCAAGCATTCATTCAGACATGTTTTATAATCAGTTTTACTAAGACAGTCTTGCAAAATTCTACTCTATTCAAAGATAAGGTAGCAAAAAACCACAACCTATTCCCATGTATGATTGCTAGAATTAAGTTGAAGCAACCTCAATAGCAGGCGAGCATGGGGCAAAGCATTGATTTTGTATCTCCTCAAAAAGAAACAGCTCAAGATTCCAGGTTTCATTCCATGTAAGTCTCTTTTTATATTAAATGTTGGTATGCCAGTTATGTCACAAAGATTAAAACATTTCTATTAGTGGGAAGTAGACTTACATGTTTGTGCTTGGTAAATATGAACTGTGGTTTGAGCAAAACACTGCTAGTGTTCTCCATGTTGTGCAATTTACATATTAAGTCAAATTGAATTTTGTATTATCAAAATTTATTGTTCATATATTTCTACAATTTGCAGACCTTAATTTCTCATGTACACCTACCTGTAGTTGTGAAAATGCAACCTATACACAAGACACTAGTTTTTAGTATTTAGAATCAAAGTATTACACCTTCTGTAAGTTTTCAAAATTTACATTGTGCTCCAATGTCAAATAATATTTACATATTCTTGTACCTCTATTACTAGTTTGTGATACAGAAAATAGTGCCTAAAATTTCTGAAATTGATGCATTGATAACAAGTTTCAGCTGTTTGAGGAATACATTCACAATATTTTCTGTGATTCTCAGATGGATTGTTTAGACCTAAGTTTCAGATGAACATTTAAATACACATGTACAAAAATACAACCTCAGCTATAAATATGACAGAGAGCAATTTAAATATGTTACAGAGCAAACACTTTAGAAAGGATGGGGGGGATATAGAGTATTGTGGTCTTTGAGATCTCAGATAAAGTTGAAATTTTTTCATGCTCTTTTAGTAAGATTTGTAATATTGGGCTTCAGACACTATTCTGCACCACAAAATTTTTAACCCTTATATAATCTTTGCTAAAATTATAAAACCTTTAGTGCTATAACGCAGAATGACACTTTGGAATATTTATTTTGCTACAAATAGTATGTTGGTAAGACACTAGTGGCCTTTAACCTACTGAAATAAGAGAAGTCCTCAATAAACTATTTTCTTTGTAGTTTGCAATGGTTAACAAAGGCACCTGTAATTATAGCTTATAAACTAAAATTGAAAACACATTTGCATGTTTTAGTTGTGTATATAAAAAAGTACCAAAGTAGTGTAACAATTGTACAGTAAGTAATTCTTTGCAATTTAGTTCTTTTCAGCAAAGTTTTTAGACCCTATTATATATCTCAATAAGGATATCATTACAACCTTTGTCAAACTCCTCTCATGTTTCTGACAAGAATATAAAAAAAGATAACATTACAATTTTTTCCAATTTCCAGGTAGAAATTATACTCTATACATTAGTTGGGTATAGATAGCTGCCTACAGTGCTGAAAATTAAAATAAAGTTTCATTACCAATACATGATCATTAGATGACGTTTAACGTTCAAAAAGATAGTTGTAATGACAGAAGGGACAGCTATACACTTTTATTTTTAATACAACTTTTCAATTTATGGTAATTGTGATATTATTGTAATATATTTAAAACAACAGTAGTAACTATTGTTTCTGAACTACAATCTGCCTTTAAATCAGTATAAAACTATCATTTCCAAAATATTTGAAAACTAATTTGGAAACATTCTTTAGCTAGTTCTGCATTTATTTGGCAGCATTGAATTGTTAATAGTTACATAAGCAGCATCTGAGGACCAGCCCAGATACTCGTTGAAGAAAAAGTGCTAGTACATATTTAATAAAAATCACTACATTTGGAACAAATATTTTTAAAAATATTACTAACTTTCCAGACACTATTACTATTAAAGTAAAAAATGTGTTTAATTTTCACACTATAAAGAATTCTGTGCTTTTTAAAAATCACAGGTTTGTTCACTTAAAAAAAAAAAGAATTGTAAAGCAAAATGTAAGCAATGAAAGATTCTCCAACATTCTGTAACATGCATCAGCAAATGAATCACATGCTTTTTGATTTCTGTATCTTATATATCAGATTGGATAAGCATACACCCATATAATTTACATTTCATTTCCAGTGATATAAATATGGATTCTTGTGGAACTGCTTGACTTTATCTGTAGCAATATTTATATACATATTTATAAGCTAAGCACTATATTTACTGGCATTTCATTTCACTAGACCATCTTCTATTGCAGACATGTCAAACTCACAACATCACGTGATGTCGCGCGACGTATTGGGACAGTTTTGCCATTGCCAGCAATGGGGTGGGTGCGGCTTCCATGTGATGCGTCCGGCCTTCGACACCCCTGTTCTATGGTCTCCTGATCTCTGAATTGGCAATGTTCCAAAATGCTAAGAGATCTACTTAAGGTTTTAAGATTTTTCTTAAATTCTAAACTCCCATTTCATATTGAACAAAGTAATGGCAAAACACTAGAACTAATATTCAGGACAGCTTATCCAAATGACTATATTGTTTACAGAAATGACAACATAAAAAAGTTATGCTACATGCTCATTACCATTGCTCTACTGTAATCATTCAAGAGGAATGTTTAAATTATTTTTCAAATTAAATAGTTTTCAGGTGTAGGATAACAGTTGATCAATGTCTTGTCTCACAACAAAACCAAATCAACTTTATCTGTTAGTACCTCATCCCCAAAGGCATTGCACTCAGTAAATAAATCATAGTCAAAGGTCAGAGCTCAAAAGTACCATTAGAAAACTATAATTTTACAAATTAGGTGCAATGAATATTCTTTAAGTCAATGGCACAATTCCCATCAAGTTTACATATTTTGGATAACTAATACAGCCTATATCACAGTTATCATATAGCATTTTATATGGATTTCCCAATATATATATCTTAATCCATGTCTTTTCTGACAAAAAAGGAAAGGCAGCACAGGTTGCCTTGCCATATTAATGTACATGAGAGGTGACAGAAAACACTTGGAAAGGACCTTGAGAATGGTTACACTGTCCCCTTGTCCCATTTCTTCCTGCACATATACTCCCTAAGCAGGTTTAATCACCTGGTTCAATTGGAATCTGACTAGGCTAATCTTGAAATTGTCTTACATGGCAATCAGTAAAACAATCACACCTGCCTGTTCATCCAGTGCAAATTCTAAATTCCTTTTCCTCTGCAAATGTGTAATGTTTCATTTGGCTTTTTAAAAAATAAGTATGTTGAATACTTTGACAAAAATAAAAATTTATGAAGAAAAGTTAAAGCATTATCTTCTCCCCATTATAAGTTTCTATGTGTGATGAATTTTAATAAGTACCGTTTTCCTCCTTGCAAGCCCCAACCATATGCAAATTTAATTTGATAAGAGCCCAGAAATTCAATGTTTCAATAGATATCGCTTACACTGGAGAAACAGCAGATCTATGTAGCCAATATAAAACTTTAAAAAGTTTTCAATTTTGGTTCGATTAACCACTGAATACGAAGCCCTAAAATATATCTTAACCTAAAAACTTCCAAATCAAAATATTCTATTTAAGCCTGCTTAGAAACTGAAGGCATCACCTTTAGGGTTGATTTTAAAACCATCATAAACAAAGGACACATTTGTTCTTTTAACCAAATATGTTGGATTTAGGTCTGAGCTTGAAGGAAGCTTTCAGGGACTTGTCTTCCTCTTCTTCTGCATCCCCCCGGAAAGAAGGGGTAGTATGGATGATTTGAGTATGGAATCGGATTTTGTTGAGTCGGGGTTTTATCCTTCCGCTGCCAGAGCTTTTTCTACTGAGCTCTTTGTTCTTGCTGGCTGCCGCCGACCCCTCTCCCGATTCCCTTTCATCCCCGTGATGGTGGTGGGAAAGCTTGTAAGTAATGAGGTTAGAGGGGAGCACCCTGGAAAGTCTCCAGCGGCTGCTGCCATTGGACGCCCCGCTGTCGACCTCATCCTGCAGAGCCCCGACGAGGCTGCGCACCTCCTCGGCGGTGCCCCGGCTCAGGTAGTGCGAGGCCTTGCGGCCGCTGTAATCCCGAATATCAACGTCGGCGTCGTAGGCGCCCACCAGCAGCTTCACCACTTCCAAGTGGCCGTGCATGGCGGCCAGGTGCAGCGCGGTATAGCCGCCGCTCGTGCGCGCGTTGATGTTGACGGGCAGGCACTGCCGGTGGGCGAAGTTGACCAGCCTGGCCAGCAGCTCGGGATGGCCCAGCTTGGCAGCCCAGTGCAGGCACGTGAAGCCCGTGATGAAATCGCGCTTGGGCAACAGCGCCGGCTCGCAGCTCAGCAAACTCTCCAGGCTTTCCCAGCGGCCGTCCGAAGCGCACAACATCCAGGCGTGCTCCAACGGGTCCAAGGCCACCGAGCCCCCGCCGCCGCTGCCGCCCTCGTCCTCGGCCGACGAAGACGCCAGGGAGCCGCTGTCCGAGTCCGCCCCGCCGCGGCTCCCTCCGCTGCTGCTGCCGCCGCGGTGCAGGAGCCCGCCGCGCTTCTGCTGAGGGGAACTGCCCAGCATCCGCTCCCGGAAGATTTTATGCCCACACCTGGGTGTGTTGGCGCCGGCAGAGGCTCCGCCCGCCGGGGCGCCGACAGCCGGGCTGGCGGAGGGCGGCGAGTCTTCTTCGAGCAAGGCCTCAACGGTGCCTCCGCCGGGCTTCTCTTCAGGCTCGGCATCGCCCGAGGGCTTCGGGACCGCCTCCAGGCGCCGCGGGCTGCTCTGCTGTTCCTCCCGGCAGCCGCCGCCGCCGCCGCCGCCTCCTCCTTCTCCCGGGCTGTCTGGGCTCGCCAGAGGTGCCTGGGGGATTCGGGGTGAAAGCGGCTCCGGCGGTGCTTCTGAGGTTGAGGTGGCGGCGTCGGCGTCGCTCTCCTCGGGCGGCAGCTCTCCAGAGGCGGCAGAGGGATCCCCTCTCGCCACTCTCTCTCCCTTCAGCGGTTCGGCGCCGGCTTTCTCTTCGCGGGCCGCTCCTCCATCCTGGCTGTCCCCGCCGTCGCCGTCGCCTTCGCCGCGAGGAGCGCCAGGGGGACGCGGCGTGTCCTGGGGGTGCCCGACAGTCCCGGAGCCGTTCTCGGTTGGAGAGGAGGCCGCCGCCGCCGCCGTCGTCGTTGCTTCGGATTTGCGACTGCCGGCAGTGCCGCGATATTTCTTGCGCAACTGCACATACTTGGTCCCAGAGCCGGGCTCCTGCCGCACCGTGGCTACGGCGTTGACCAGCTGCTTAAAGTGCTCGCGGGCCCGGGCGCGACTGTCGGGGTCCGGCGAGATGAGGAAGCCACGGAAATGCTCCAACAGGTCGGCGTTGCGAGTCCGGCCTCCGCGCTCTGCCAGGAAGCGGAGCACCGTGTCCTGGTCCAGCTCCCCCGACGCAGCCATAGGCGCCCACGGACCGTTGGCGGCGCCTCTCTCGTCGATTCCGACCGCTAGCCTTCAGCGCGGGATCCCCTCTTGACTCCTTCGCTTGGCCCGCCATGGCATCGTCGCCGCCACAAGACGCCCGACGGCATCGCCTGAGCCCGGCTTCTCCTTCTCCGCCCTCCCTCGGTTGTTGGACCCCACCGAGCTCGCGTCCCCTCCTTGCTCACGTGACGTCCGCGAGGGAAACAGGGAGGCGCCTATTTGCCGTTTTCGAAACTGCCCTCCCCTCCCTTTCATGAATCTCGGCACTGGAGAGGCTGTAAAGAAGCTGGCCGCTGAGAAGAAAAGGTCGGGGCGCTCGCCCGAAACCACGCCCTCGCGGCGCTCCTCCCACATTGAGAGAGTAGGTTTCCTACTCCCCCGTAAGAAGATAGTGCCGCTCATTCCCCTTCTCCCCCTACGTTCGTTTGCGGTTTGTGCAGCATCTTTCTCCCGTCGAAACGGGATTGGCTGGGCCTTGGTCCCGCCCTCCTTTCCGCGCGGCCTCTCATCGCCACCAGTTACATTCCAGCTGTTGGGATTGGAGTTGGAAGTTCGGCACGGGCTCCCACCCTCCCTCTCTATTGTCTTTGGCGCGCGGTGACCCCTCCCCTCATGTCATGGCTTCTTCCGATGTGGCTCGGCAGCTGGTAAGTCCGGAGCGCGCCCTGGGGTGTGGGCAGAGGGAGAGCCGGCCTTGACTGGGCGACAGCGGTCCCTCTGTCTGCGGCCACATGCCTGCCTTTGTGGGTAGGGAATCCCATTGGCTTACTTTTGGTAAAGGGGAAGTTGCAATTCCCGACAGCCGCCTCGCCCCATTGATTTCGGCGGGCAGAGTTCGTCTTACTGGGCACAGGATCGGGGCCTAAATTATCCAAAAAGGGCAGCTCTGTTGGACCCAGATTGTTTTCATTCATCCCGTATAAAGGCTTCCAACTTCTGCAATCACTTACAGCTTTGTGTAAATCCGAAAACCTCTTGTCATGACTGCAGGCAAATAAAACTAGGGAAGTTTGCTGCCCCCAAATCAATGAGTGCTTGCTTTAGAAAATTTTTCTACGTTGTTATTGGTTAGATTTATACTTCTTTTCTCCGGGAATCTGAGATATTGTACCTTGTAAAGTAGGCTGACCTGAGAGATGGTGACTGGCACAGAGTCACTTTCCTGCTTTTCCATGTCTGAATATGGAGTTGAACTTGACTTCCCCTCATCCTAATCAGGACATTGCATTAGCTTCTGAGAGTTCAGGAGATTTACTTTCAAATGTAAAGTTCTCAATTGGTGGTGGCATAAGGCTAGTTGTGCCTAGGTTAGAAACTAAGTAGGATTTGGGTTGGTTAGGACTTGGATGGGAGATTTTCTGAACTATAATATAGAATGGAAAGTCAGAAAAGCATTCTGGAAGAAGCAGTAACAAATCACTGCAATGATTATGTCTGTCTGTCTGTCTGTCTGTCTGTCTGTCTGTCTATCTATCTATCTATCTATCTATCTATCTATCTATCTATCTATCTATCTATCTATCTATCTATCTATCTATCACTTGTTTTCTAAAGAACATACATGCATGTCAGCCTTGCTGCAGTATTTCTTAAATGACTCAGGTAAGACATTAAAGGCTGCTAACAGGCTTGTTGTGATACTGGTTTATTGGATTAAACCTGGTGTACTTCACAAGGTCTGTGGCCCTGTTAAATACTTTAAAGTTTTCTCCTATATTTTCACCTTATTATTTCCACACAGTATATACTACTGCTACAAATTCCTAGGCACCCCATCTGTCATTAATATTTCACCTTATTTATTTTTCCTTATTTTCCTTTCCTGCTTGAGAAACTGCCTGAATATTCATCTTTTAACTTTTCTATAAAACTTTTGCTTTTTTCGGAGCCTCTTCTTTGAATTGTACCACTTCAACTTGAACATTTCTATATAAAAGCTTTACATAGAGGAAATTATGTGTTAGGAAAGAGGAGTATAGAAGTTGTTTCCCTTACACTTGCATGGATCTAAGTCTTGGAGTGTTGGAAAATTATCTCTTTGTATATGACAGCATTAGGCCATGTTTTTGCATATATCCAGTCTAAAGTATTACAACTACAGTAAAAATAGTTCCTCCTTCAATAGTTATTTGGCAGTTCAGTAAGTGTTTAAATGGTCAACTTTTACACACATATTTAATTTAAAAATAAATTCACATATTACCCAACCAAATTGTTGCTGCTGTCCAATGATAATATGCTTGGAAGACAGTTTCATTGAACACAAGAAAATTTATCTTTGAGTCAGTTTGAACAACATTGCATTTCCAGTATCTTTATGCTACCAATGTAATTCAGCTGTATGTATCTATATGAATGTAAGCTGCTGATGCTATAGAGGCAATTTAGATATATTTGAGGGTTTGTGTATATATATTTGTGTGTGTATGTATGCGTATGTATGTGTATACACATATGCACATATATACAGCTTAATTGCTTCTGTAGCATAAGGCAGTTTACGTTCACAATATATTAATTTGTCAGGTTGCTCTTATTAAATACAGCCTTTGAATTATTTTCCATGCCTTTGTAAGCCTTTATCATGTCAAGATTTTCCTCCACACCCAGCACTATTCTATAATCAAGTATCTTTTATGCTGGTAACTCAACATTCTACCCTTACAACTAATAAAGCAACGCCCACATTTTCATCATTACTCTTTTGAATCTATTTAGCCCAGTCTTTTTTTCCATAAAGGCAACATTTCCTAGTTATGTTAACATCTAGGGATTATAATTTTCTCAGCTGTTGTACATATTTAACTTTTTGTATTGTGTTTGTAGTTTGATTTTAACTGATTTTATGATTGTTTGCTGCCCAGAGTCACTTGTTTGAGGTGGCCATATAAATACATTGTTTAAAATAACTACCGTATTCAAATTATGTTTTAAATATTTAAAAATTTCCCTGCTGTTGAAAAATGAATTGCATACTAATGAGGTAAAAACCTATCCACAGGCTGCTGCTATCGTGGATTAATGAGAAAAAATACTAGTGTTTTAAAATAATTGCATATTTTAGTGTAATATTCAGCTGCAGTTCTGAACAAATCCTATTTGTATATATACATTGAAAACCCTCATTCCTTACCCTATTTATAAGAAGAGTGTGAGGTAGCTTGCACATTTAAAAGTATATTAAATGCTGTGGCAATTTTCCACACAATTATGAGCAAGCCTAAAACTGCAGTATGAATGTAGTAGGCAAATATCATTAACACCTTCAAGGGAAATATTAGAAATATGTACAAGTAATCTTTTACTATCTTTCATTGTGAAAAAAACCATAAAAAGGTATCTATTATTAGTACTATATCAAAATTTAAGTTGTTTGTGTTTGGAGGAATGTTAAGAGATTTTCTAAAATTTATACACTGATTTCCTTTGCATAGATTTGAATCTATGCTGTCCCCATTCTATTATGAAATAATTGAATTGAAAAGAACAATAGTCAATGATATACCTTCTATGATCTATAGACTTTTATTTTTCTAAGTTTGACTCCAAACTGTACTTTGGCAATATATAGATGTTGTGAGTGTACTTGTTGCATAAGAAATGGGCATATTTTGACTACTGTATAGCACTCTAGATGATAAAGCATTAGTCTTGTTATTGTTGTCCATTGTGTATGGCTAATTTTTGAAGTGCGTATGATAGATAAAGAATGCATTCTGTAAAGATAGTGGCTTCTTCAGGTAAGGATCTGTGAAGATTCAAGAGAAAAAAGTAATTAAAAAGATAGCTACTATTTAAATTTATAATACCAATATAAATGATTTATAGCAAAGTTATTTAAATGTTCAAGCCCTTCAAAAGATTTCCGTATCGCAGACACTTGAGTCACTTAACTTCCTGATTAAAACTTGCATCTACAAGTATGTTCTTTGGCAAAGATTCAGGGACACAGAGAAATAATTGGCTCGGTATTTCTTATACACTGTTTGCAGCAGTGTAGGAGACAATTTGCATTCTGTTTAAAAATGCATATTCAATTATATTTTCATTCTAGAGATTTATTCTTGCTAAATGTAGTGGGTTGTTGTTTTTTTGCTTTCTATAGCAAAATGTAGATTTTCCTTTTTTAAAAATAAAAATAAAAAGATAGATAATTTGCCAAATGGCAAATTGCATTGTTCTACAAGAGATAAAACAAAATTGCTGCTTCCACTAAGTTTTTATTATTACCTTTTCTTTTCCTTTATTTTTTTCTTTATTAAAATGATTAACAGGGAATTTTCAAGCATCATGAATTAAGTTAAAAATGCAATACAGTATTCCATTGTAGTTTAAAAAAAACTAAATATACTATATAATTTAAAACTACAAATCGCTGTTAAGCTCCAAGTAATATATGAATATCAACAACAATGATCAGCACTGATATTAAGAGTTGTAATTTACCAAAGTAATTTCTGTTAAGAAAACCCCAAATTTCAGATGTGGTTCCGGCTCCTAAATAGAGGTATAATATAAAAATGGTTCTCCAACTCAATTAATTTCTTTAAATTCTTTTGAAATCCAAGCTGTTTTTGACATTGATCATATTTCCATAGTTTAATAAGCCATTCTTCTGCAAAGAGAACTATCCATAGTCTTCAATAGGAAGTGTAGAGCAATAGTCCCCAATCTTTTCAGCTCGGTGGATCAGTGGAGGCAGCAGTGGACTAGTTCCGTGGACTAGTTCCAAACCCTAGTTCCCTAGTGTAAAGTATCCTGGCAACAGATACCATGTTCAAAGTTAATTCAGTATAGTAGCTAAAGTGGATGTTCAGTGATGGTGAAGGGTGAGTTACAGATTGGAAGACAATGAACAGTGAAAGTGAAGAAGTGGTGGATTGGTAGAAAGAGTCTGCTACTAGTTTCCCCAGTTGTTTGTAGGATAATGGAGTAATTGCTGTCTTTATCTTCTACCTGTACAGGTAGTCCTCAACTTATGATCACAATTGAGCCCAAAATGTCTATTGCTACACGAGATAGTTGTTGTGAATTTTGTCCCATTTTACAGTTGTTGCCACAGTTGTTAAATGAATCACTGCAGTTAAGTTAGTAACACACTTGCTAAAGTGAATCTGCCTTCCCCATTGATTTTGCTTCTCAGAAAGTCATAAAAGGTGATCACATGGTGATCACACTGCAATCATCATAAATATGATTCAGTTGTCAAGCATCTGAATTTTGATCACCTGACCATGGGGATATTGCAATAGTGGTAAGTGTGAAAAATAGTCATGAGTCACTAAATGAACTGTTGTAAATCGAGGACTACCTGTATACTTGGTGGCAATGTAAGATCTAATAACATTTTTTTAAAAGAGTTGGAAGGGAAATTCAGCTTTTAAAATGGGCTTCAATCTATTTAAATCGCTTTCCATAACAATTGAGCTTTACAACAATTCTACAAAATACAGAAAAATATTCTAAACTGATTGTTATATTTTAACAATTTTTAGAGAAGGAACTGACCTCTAAAATGGAGTAATATCCTAGCAGTAAAGCATCTCGTATACCAATTTTCTTTAAGTACAACATTCAGTGTGCATTTCTTTTTGTGTCTCAATGATTTTCTCTAAATATTGTCTTGCATTTAATTGTACAGTCTATTACTTGTAGAGATTCAGAGTTATAGTTCATGATTTATTAATAAATCAGGCCTAGCAAATGCTTATTTGAAGAAATTAAATTGATCAAGGGGTGTTGATTCAATTTAAAAAAATCATCCATTCTCTTTTCTAGTATTTCAATAAAACATTTGCAGTCTACCTTCATTAAAGAAATAGGCTGGGTAATTTCTTTTCTTGTAGATCAGAGAAATGAAGCTTCTTTCTATGATGATGAACAAGTTCTTTGTGTTGTTGAGTTTCATCAATTAGGTAGTGGTTTGACCAAAATGTCTTGAAAAGTTTTGTAGTATATTATAGATATGTGATCAGAATCAATCTTTTATTATGGTCACAGGCCAGAATAAAAATTAAAACAAAACAGGACAAGACGTAATATTATGTATTAGAAATAATGGTGAGATCATCAATGGGTGGCCAAAGTCTATTTTTGCAGGTAATATAGCAGAATTTAGTTATCTTCAAAGAAACTGTATCATAGTCTTGATAGTAACAGCTATCCATAAAACAAATCCAATTTTTCCAGATACAATATTTTGTCAGATAAAGAGTTATAAAATGAGTCCCTGAGTCCTTATAGAGCAGGGGTGTCAAATGTCCGGCCCATGGGCCGGATGCGTCACGTGGAAGGCGCACCCACCCCATTGCCGGCAATGGCAAAACAGTCCTGATACGTCGCGTGATGTCACGTGACATCGCGAGTTTGACATGTCTGTTATAGAGGGTGCAATATAACAGGAAAGTGGTTTCAAGGCCCCTTGTCCACAGAGCCACCATCTTGGCTCTTACGGGATGTTTTTGTATTGCCCCTCCAGAACTGCTGTGGAAAAGGCATTACAATTTGCTAGAATTAGTGCCCTCTGAAATTTGGAGACAGTTATACGCTCCAAGTATCAAGTCTTAAATTCTTAGTTTCAGCTTTTAAAAATTAATTCTTTAGTTTTATCTTTTTTCATGGGTTTATTAAGTATCCCCACCTTTTGGGGATCTTCAAGGGAGGCAAGATTTGTTTAATGTCCACATGATTCACTTAGCAACTTAACAACTGCCATGATTTCTTTAACCATGGCAAAAAGGTCATAAAATGGGACACATTTAGCAAAGGAAATTTTGAACTCAATTGTTATAAGTTGAGGACTACTTGTATTGGTTTTTATACTAAAAGTCCAAACATATTCTGCACTCTGAATGTCTTATTACAAAGGTGAAAAGCTAGAGTAGACTTTCTTTATGTCAGAGCTCCCTCTTCTGGTTACTGTAGAAAAATCTGATAAATTCCATAAAAAATAGAAAAATATAAAAGATTAACCTTATAAAATGCAGATAAAATAAAGCCAATTGCAGGACAATAAACCCCAATAAGGCAAATAAGACAATAATCAAAATAAATTATTTCCAGATTGGCAAAATCCTTACTGTGTCGTATCAAATAGGTATTGATTTGAATTCTCTGGATTTGTCACACAACAGAAAAAATGTAATGAGCTATCATCTGGAATCCATTATGCAGCTTTTAAAATATCTTAATACCTAGAATTTAGGTATTAATATTATGTTACGAAATCACGGGCTTCCTATTGCAGTGTTGTTGACTGTTTTTTCTTGATGGTTAATCATACAGAATAACATTTCATGATTTGTTTGGATTCATAATCTTCCTGATCAGGTATAAAGCAAATCCCAGTCTTATTGCTAACCTTAGGCAGGAAAATGCAACTAGTAGGTTGAAATGGAATTTGAAAGAACCTATGTGAGCAATCAGTTTCAGATTTGTTGTAGAGGAAGAGAAAGAGTGTGCTATCTCTGACTTTGATGCTGCCTGTTGCCAGTGGAAAGCCTCTAACAGGAACTTCAAAGGGAAAAAAATCACCTATTGTTCCCTGGATCCAAGGGTAGGAGTGGACAACCAATGATTTTCCCATTGTTGAATTATCATTGGTGGGATTCTTTGCTTTAGAACAGGGCTTTTCAATCAGTGGTATGGGTACCACCTGTGGTACATTGGCACCTGGCAGGTGGTACGCGACCATCCTAGAAAAGTGGTAGCGGGGGAGGGGAATGAGCTGAACCGGTGGCAGCCCCGCACAAGCCTGAGCGAGAGATGGCTGGAGCTGCAGGGCTGTCAGGGCTCAGCGGAAGCGCCAGGATCAGCACTTCTTCGGGACTGTCAGGGTTCAGTGGAAGTGCCAGGATCAGCGCCAGGCTCCAGCTGGAGCTCGGCACTGATCCTGGTGCTTCTGCTGAGCCCAGAAGAAGCGCCAATCAGCTGGAATGTTGCAGCATCTCCAGGGTCTTGTGATTTACATTCAGATGCTTGGCAACTGATTCATATTTATGATGATCACAGTGTCCCAGGGTCATGTGAAGTGACCAAAACCTGCTGCAACCACCCAGCAGACGGGGGGAATAAAAGCCAAACACCCCCCACCCACCCCTGCTGCCAATCCTCAACAGAAATGCTCACAACAATGAAAACTTCGGACAGGAGGAAGAGCACCGCCGGGCGGGCAGGCAGGTGTCTTGCTCGGTTGTGGCTTGGGGGGCACTTTTTTCAGTGCCATTGTAACTTCGAACAGTAACTAAGCGAACTGTTGTAAGTAGAGGACTACCTGTACTTTATCACTTTTTTCCTTTTTTTTTTTTTTTGGTCATCAAGTTTTTGACACCTTGCTAGGCGACTGGTGATACTCGGATATTGCCATATCCTAAAAGTGGTACAATGGGTGAAAAGGTTGAAAAGCCCTGCTTTAGAACATGCTGGCTAGAAATGCAAGGAGTTGCATTTTAACAACAGGTCCCAAATTTCCACTTTTATAACTGTTCAAGACCTACCTCTTCTTCTGGTACATACATTGTGTAATGTGCAGTTTTTTCTCTTGTTCTTTATTGTGTAGTGACAGATTTAGGTCATGGAACTTACATCACTAAATTAGCTGACGCTTAAGGTGAATTCATAGTTAAAGTAAATTTCCAGTTGCCTCTATTTAAATCTTAGTCTTTGCCTTTTAAGATAATGTCAGTGGCATTAAATTTTTTGGTAGGTTAGCATATCATAAAATATACAAGTAATTTATGGCACAACTATTGAAATACAGGATTAGGGTATTAGAAATGTAAAGCTAATAAAAGTGTCAAATGTTGACACTACATAGAAAAATGTTACACCGTAGTATATTTCTGTAGAACAGTCAATGAACTCTCTTCATGCTGAATATAGTTTCAGAAAGGATTGTGGAGCAATCTTGGCATGTCTGTCCAGAAGTAAAGCCAGTTTGTTTATTCCAAGGGAAATTCATATAAGGATGCTTTTTTTACTGCTGTTGTTTTTATGAAAGTGTATATATATTGAATGGGAGGATTGGTAGGAACACTGAAATTTTAAGAACATGTTGGAGGTAGTTTCAAAAATCATTACTGTGAGGGACATGTCTACTCACAAATCACATACCAATGAAGTTGTTCCCTAAAATATTATTTCCAGTTCAGCCTACCTTTGCTTTTTTTTTTAATAACAGTGGCTAGGTAGCCTCAGATGCATTTATGGAAATGGACACTAGAGGCTGATGCTTTGCCTTGTAGCATATTATTTTATTTACTTTTTTTATAATTAAATAAGCAATAGGTAAGATCTATTAAGTAGTGGGGAAGTGTCTGCTTGCAGGCTGAGTTGCCGTATAGCAATAACACTTAGACTTATATACCTCTTCATAATGCTTTACAGTACTCTCTGAGTGGTTTATATTGCCCCCAACAATCTGGGTCTTCATTTTACCAACCTTGGAAGGATGGAAGGCTGAATCAACCTTGAGACGGTCAGAATCAAACTCCGGCTATGGGCAGAGTTAGCTTGCAATACTACATTCTAACCACTGGACCACCACAGCTCCATATTACACTGTTTTCTACAATACTGCTTAATTAATGTATTTAATTGAAATACTTTTAATTAACCCAAAAGTTATTCCTTTAAATGTATTTATGTCAGCCCTTTGTGGCTGGCCAGTTTAAAAAACTGAAGTGATTAGAACTAACCTTATTAAGATTGGCTATAATAACAGTTTCTTGTAAGTCTGATTATGTTGATCTGTCCTCCCTCTCATATTCCTGTGAATCATGGAGGAGCTTGCCTATCTTTTTTCTAAATAATGACTTCATTCCTAGGACTTAAGGAATATTTCAGTCCTCATTTTTTATGTAATGGTTTTTCCCATGTCCCTGATTCTCTATAATTTTGCAGTTGTGACCAGAATTATTTCTCTTTCAAATTTCTTTAATTTGACTGTGACAAAATTATTTGATTTACTATTTCAGTACCATCAACCTGATATTGGAATGAGAGGACCCTTTACTTCACCAACAGATAGTCATGAGGCAGGAAAAGTGAGTTATTCTGTTCTGTTCTGTTCCGTTCCATTCCATTTATCTGTATCTCACCTTTATTATTTTTACAAATAACTCAAGGTGGAGAACATATCCCACACATCTTTCTCCTATTTTCCCCACAACAATGACCTTTTGAGGTGGGTTGGGCTGAGAGAGAGTGACTGGCCCAACGACACCCAGCTGGCTTTCATGGCTAAGGCAGGACTAGAACTTCTTCCCTTCCTGTCCGGTCCTGTCCAAGGCACTTAAATGTCTGCAGATTTATCATAGCATTATATAAGTTCCTTCCCCCTCCCCCACCTTACCATCTACATTATCAGAGCATTCTTTGCATTCTTTGGATATTTGTAGGGGATCATGAACAATTACTTGTTTATTCTGGCTCCAGAGAAGACATTTCTCTAAGTGGGAGCAGTGGCTATTCAGAGAGGATTTCAGCTGATACATCTCTTGCTGCCGAATGCTGCCCAAAGCCATTTCACCAGAGTAGTTCCAGTTTCCATTACCATGTTTCATAGGACTGCACTTCTCAATGTGTGCAAGGTTATGCTGTACTCTGATGTGGCCGACAGATATTTGCATGGCATTATTAATAAATGTATGGGTCTAGAAAGATCCTTCCTTTGAGAAAGCACTGCTGTCATCAGTTCCCTCCTGGGCTGCTCTAAAGTAAGTTTGCTACTTACCTATAGTGGGATGCACAGAAACCTCAACAAAGAGTAGGAAGCTTACTTATAACTATAATTCCTAGAACACTCATGTGTGCATTCACACACAGCCCCATTCTCTTTCCCCTTTCATGTGCCTTCTTTACTAAGTATCCTGTTAATAATGAGTATCAGTCCTTTAGAATGAAAGAAGAAGAGGGAGCATTATCTTAGCCATTCAAATTTCCTCAGTTGTGGAATACTGTATTCCCGATGAGGCTTTTGCCCAGGTGCAATATCTATATGTATGAATGTACTGTTTACCACTTGATACATGCCTCGGATTTATTAGCTAAGGACACATTGTTATGGGTAGCTTAATGAAGACATGTTATTATTTTAAATATTAAAGATCAAAATAAATATCATAATACTTGTGATGTTACTGAGTAGTTTTGGCTATGTTAAGGAATGACCAGAAACCTATTCAAGAGTATATTTTAGAATTTGGATTTAATCTGTAAGGATATCTTCTTATGACATTAATATTGCAAGCTGCTCAGAGTCTCCAGAACTAGAGCAATATAAAAATTCTATGAATACATAAAATGTCTCCAAACTAAGAACTTCCAAGCAGTGCTTGGAAACGAAACAAACAGAAGTCCCTGAAATTATCTATATCTATAGATTCTCTCCAGGGAATGAAATGGCTCAATAATTCCTGAGCGCTAGACATTAGAGAAACTGCAGACAGAATTCACAAGGCTTCTTGTCTTTTCTAAATCCAGCAGAAGAGTTCCTGGCCCTCCTTGAAATTCTCAATATTATACACATGACTAAGAGATAGAAAATGTGACTTTGTTTTCAGCTTATCCTTAGTTTCAAGGAAAATTGAAGCAGTGCTAGACTTCTATTTCTCCAAAATCTTTTTTAGAGTGACAGAGTATTTTGGATAGCTGGAGTCTGTGGCAATCAGAATTAGTTGTCAATCAATGTTATGGGATCCTTGTGAGCAAACATTTAATAGCTAGACATCATCATAGATTTGTTTGATGTGGTGCTTATGTCGTGAAAAAATGATCCAGTCAGTTTTTCCAGATGCACGATTGTTGAATTTTAAGGATGTGTATATACATATATTGTGGCCATATGTTAAGCTTGCTGAGAGAATCAGCTGTGCATTCCATAGGGAACATTGCAGGGCAACCCAATTTTTGGGGAGGGGGGCATTTTTTTTAAAAAATGCTATTGGGCTGGTATTGAAGCTCTGCAAATGAAAGGCCAGGTGATTTGGTAATATAAGTATCAAAAAGAGTGCACAAGTTTACAAGAAGGAAGGAATAGGAAACAGAAGGAAGCAGAAAGCTTCTGAAGGGATTAATAAAAAGAAGTGGTTTAGGCAAAAAGGATGGAATTAATGAAGGGGTTGAGGAGAAGAAATGACATACAAAAAGGAGAGAATAGAATGATAGGAACCTAAACATGCTTCTTCTTTGGTGTTAGGCTTATTGATATATACTAGTATTTATTCAAGAACTGGAAATGATTACTCTTTAGTAAATACCTTGGAAGTATTGTAATAAAGAAAAAATAACTTGTAGTGATTGTGCAGCAGATTAGTAACAGTTGTGTAAGCTTTTAAATTCTGTTTGCAGATTAACTACCCTCAGTGATTTTTATTTGGTTGAAAAAAATTAAACCAAACGTCA